ATCTGTTCTATTGATCTGTTTGTCTGTTTTTGTGCAAGTACCATGCTGTTTTGATTACTACAGCTTTGAGGTATGTTTTAAAATGAAGGATTGTGATGCCTCCAGCTTTGTTCTGTTTTCTCAGGATCACTTTGGCTATTCAGGGTCTTTTGTTGTTCCACATAAATTTTTGGATTCTTTGTTCTACTTCTGTGAAGAATATCATTGGGATTCTGATTGGGATTGCCTTGAATCTGTAGATTGCATTAGGTAGTATGGACATTTTAACTATATTTATTCTTCTGACTCATGAGCATGGAATATCTTTCCATTTCTTTATGTCTTCTTGAAATTCTTTCAGTAATGTCTTATAGTTTTCAGTGTACAGGTCTTTCACCTCTGGTTAAGTTTATTCCTAGATATTCTATTCTTTTTGTTGCAATTGTAAATGGGATTGTATTCTTAATTTCCCTTTCTGCTACTTCATTGTTAGTGTATAGAAATGTAACTGATTTTTAAAAATTGACTTGTACCCTGCAACTTTGCTGTAGTAGTTGATTATTTCTAATAGTCTTCTGGTAGATTCTTTAGGGTTTTCTATATATAAAGAACCATGTCATCTGTCAACAGCAAGAGTTTCACTTCTTCCTTTCCAATTTGGATCCCTATCATTTCTTTTTCTTGCCTAATTGCTCTGGCCAAAACCTCCAGTACTATGTCAAATAGGTGTGGTGAGAGAGGGCACCCTTGCCTTGTTCCTGTTCTCTGATGGTTTTCAGTTTTTCACCATTAAGTATGACGTTGGCTGTGGGTTTGTTATATATGGCCTTTATTATGTTGAGGTTCTTTCCTTTTGTACCCATTTTATTGGGAGTTTTTATCATAAATGGATGTTAGATCTTGTCAAATGCTTTTTCTGCATCTATTGAGATGACCATGTGGTTTTTATTCTTCATTTTGTTAATGTGGTGTATCACATTGTTTTATTTGCGGATGTTGAACCATCCCTGCATCCCTGGAATAAATCCCACTTGACTGTGGTGTAGGATCCTTTTAATGTATTGCTGTATTCGGTTTGCCAATATTTTGTTGAAGATTTTTGCATCTATGTTCATCAGCGATATTGGCCTGCAATTTTCCTTCTTTGTGATGTCCTTACCTGCTTTTGGGATCAGGGTGATGTTGGCCTCATAGAATGAGTTAGGAAGCACTCCATTTTCTTCAATGTTTTGGAATAGTTTGAGAAGGATATGTATTAATTCTTCTTTGAATGTTTGGTAGAATTCTCCAGAGAAGCCATCCAGTCCTGGACTTTTGTTTCTTGAGAGGTTTTTGATTACTGTTTCAATCTCTTTACTTGTGATTTGTCTATTCAGATTCTCTATTTCTTCTTGATTCAGTTTTTGGGGGTTGTTTGAGTCTAAGAATTCATCCATTTCTTCTAGGTTATCCACTTAGTGGGCGTATAGTTTTTCATAGTGTTCTCTTATAATCCTTTGTATTTCTGCAGTGTCTGTTGTAATTTCTCCTCTTTCATTTCTAATTTTATTTATTTGAGACTTCTCTCATTTTTTCTTGGTGAGTCTGGCTAAGGGTTTGTCAATTTTATTTATCTTCTCAAAGAACCAGCTCTTAGTTTCATTAATCCTTTCTACTATTTTTTTAATCTCTCATTTATTTCTGCTCTGGTTTTTATTATTTCCCTCCTTCTACTGACTTTGGGCTTTGTTTGTCCTTCTTTTTCTGGCTCTGTTAGGTGCATTTTAAGATTACTTATTTGAGATTTTCCTTGCTTGCTGAGGTCAGTCTTTATTGCTATGAATTTCCCTCTTACGATCACTTTTGCAGTATCCCATAAGAGTTGGCATGTTGTATTTTCATTTTCATTTGTCTCCAAGTATTTTTTAATTTCCCTTTTGATTTCCCATTGATCCGATTGTTGTTCAATAGCATGTTGTTCAATATTCTCCACATATTTCTGACTTTCCCAGTTTTTTTCTTGTGGTTAATTTCTAGCTTCATAGCATTGTGGTTGGAAAAGATGGTGGAGATGATTTCAATCTTCTTAAATTTATCGAGGCTCACCTTGTTTCTCAACATATGGTCTCTCTTTGAGAATGATCCACGTGCACTTGAGAAGAATGTATATTCTGCTGTTTTTGGATGGAATACTCTCTATATCTATTAAGTCCATCTGATTATTTCGTTTAAATCAACTATTTCCTTGTTGACTTTTTGTCTGGATGATCTGTCCATTGATGTAAGTAGGGTGTTGAGGTCCCCTACTATTATTGTGTTGCTATTAAATTCTCTCTATAGGTCTGTTAATAATTGCTTTATGTACTTTGGTGCCCCTGTGTTAGGTGCGTGTATATTAATCAGTGTTATGTTCTCTTGGTGGAATGTCCCTTTTATCATTATATACTGCCTTCTTTGTCTCTCATTGTCTTTTTTAACTTGAAGTCTACTTTATCGAAGTATGGCAACACCTACTTTCTTTTCTTTGCCGTTAGCTTGGAGTATTGTCTTCCATCCCTTCACTCTAAGCCTATGTTTGTCTTTAGAACTGAGATGTGTTTCCTGGAGGGAGCATATTTTGGGGTCTTATTTTTTAGTGCATCCAGCTACTCTGGGTCTTTTGATTGGAGAATTCAATCCATTTATATCTAGAGTGATTATTAATATGCGAGGGCTTAATATTGCCTTTTTATCCCTTGTTTTCTGGTTGGTTTCTGTTTTCACTTTTTCTCTTCCTTTGTATTTCTGATTGCCATTTCATTTTGGTGGTTTTCTGAGGGGGTTTTATCAGTTTTCTCTCTTTTTTTGAGTTGTGGCTCTGCTCTGATTTTGTGTTTACTGATTACCGAGAGGATTATATGAAAGATCTTGTAGATGAGATAGTCCATTTTCTCATAGCCTCTTATCTCCATTAACCTAAGCAGCTTCTTTCCCTTTCCTCTCCTATTCTGAGTAATTGTTGTCACAAATTGTTCTGTTTTAATGTTGTGAGTTTGTGATTGAGTTGAAATTTTAATCATTACTTTTGATGCTTTCTTCTCCTTTAAGTTGTAACTGAGTCTTTGCCTTCCTGTTCTGGTAGAGAGCTGCAGTTTTCTGATTATGTTTGTCTATTTATCTCCTTGATCAGAGATTTGTAGACCTTTGCCTTTCTGTTTCCAGTGTGAGGGCATCTTTAATTATGTCTTATAGGGGAGGTCTAGTGGTGATGGAGGTCCCTTGGCTTTTGTTTATCTGGGAAAGCATTTGTTTCTCCATTGTATCTTTTGCCGGATAGAGTATTCTTGGCTGAAAGTTTTTTTTCTTTCAGTATTTTGAATATATCATTCCACTCTCTCCTAGCCTGTAGGGTTTCTGCTAAGAAATCTGCCGACAGCCTGATAGGGTTTCTTTTGTAGGTTGCTTTCTTCTGCCTTGCTGCTCTTAGTATTTTTTCTTGGTCATTGACTTTTGCCATTTGTACTATTGTTTGCCTTGGAGAAGGTCTTTTAGCATTGATGTGATTCAGCGTTCTATTAGCTTCCTGTATTTGTAAATCTGGAAACATCCCAAGGTTTTGGAAGTTCTCAGCTTATTTCTTTGAACAGGCTCTCTGCTCCTTTCTCCTTCACTTCCCCCTCTGGAATACCTACAATCCTTATGTTGCTTTTCCTAAGTGAGTCAGATATTTCCTGAAGAATTCTTTCATTTTTTAAAAAAAATCTTAGTTCTATCTCCTCCTCCAGGTGTAGAATGTCTATATATTTATCCTCTAACTTATTTATTCTTCTCTCCATAATAGCAGTTCTATTTCTTAAGGCTTCTAGATTATTTTTTATTCCATTAATTGTGTTTTTCACATCCAAGATTTCTGCTTGATTTCTTTTTTATAGTTTCAATATCTTTGGTGAAGAGATTCATTTTATTTCTGAGCTTATTAATTTGTCTTTCTGAGTTCTCTTGTAAATTGCTGAGTTTCTTTATGACAGCTATTTTGAATTCTCTGTCATTTAGGTTGTAAATTTCTGCATCTTCAGGATTGGTTTCTGGAGAATTGTCATTTTCCTTCTGGTCTGAATTGTTGCTGCAGTTTCTCATGGTGTTTGACAAACTAAACTTTTATCAGGGCATTTGTGGTAGTTGCAGATTCCACCTGTTATCACTTGGGGGAAGCAGGAGCAGAGTTTCTGGTCCCACCCCATCTGCTGCAAGCCATGGGGGTAGTATGGGTGCTTGCCCAGGCCTAGGGAATGTCCAGTCGCTTGTGTGGACTGTGCTTGGTAGATGGGGCTTACTTGCTGGACTGAGATAGGGCCACTCCTTGGTGCCACAGGGGAACAGTGGGCTCCCCCTCCCTATGGGAAAGTGGGCCAACGTCTGCTTCTGCCTCTTCCCATGGCCACCTGGGACTTGCTCCCTCCCTCGGGGCTCAGCAGCACTATGGGTGCCTACGCAGGCCTGAAGTGTACCTGCCCCAGTGTGTAGATCTGCTGGGGCATCTGCTTGCAGTCAGGGCTGCTCTACTTGGTGGGTAGGGCTTCCTTGCAGGGACCAAGCTAGGGCTGCTCCTTGGCGCCGCAGGTGCATGGTGGGCTCCCCCTCCCTGCTTGGAAATTGATCATGAGTGGGCTAATGGCTTCCACTGCCTCTTCCCACAGTCACTGTGGGACACATTCCCTCCTATGGGGCTCAGTGGCACTATAGATGACTGTGCAGGCTTCGAGTGTGCTTGCCCAGCATTCAGATCTGCTGCAGCCTGAAATGTGTGTGTTTTTAAAATGGGATTATGTACTTAAAAGTTGCATTGTAATTTGATTTTTTTCTCCTATAACTTTAAGAACTTCTCTCCATACCATTGAACCATCTTTTACAATATCATCTTTAATGGCCACAGAAGAATTAGTCATATGGATGTGCTATAGTTTTTAACTAATCCTCTACAGTCAGACACTTTGATTCTTTCTTTTCTAATTCCTGTTTGCCCTTAAAATCTATAACATGAACTCTTTGCTTCTCTTTGATAGTATAATTAGCATGACCTCCCCAAGACATGAGGGCAGAGGCAGTGCTGTCTTTCTTCCTCATTCTTGCACCATCTCTGAGTGGATTTCCAGGTAAGTTTCTTTATAATATACCCAAGTATTAGTTATTTGTATCAATAGAGAGGAACATGAGCACGCAGTGCACAGTGGCATAGCATTGTGAACTTTTCTAGAAGATCAGTTGATGAGAAGCGGGAAATAGACTGGAAGTCTCCATGAAGATTAAAAATCATATTTTCTCCTGTCTACTCAATTAAGACTCTTTCTAATCTGCTATCTGCTACCAGATATAAAATCCCTGGAAAGGCAAGTTTGATTGATTGGTTGATTGATGTTTTTTTTAAGTGTAAGCTTGGTACTTACTCAACACAGAAGGCATTATCAGCTTCTCTAGGACCTGTGATAGGCATTGTGAATTATTCAGTGAAATATTAGAGGGTTTAGTAGAGCAATTAGGAACATTGATAAAACCACTCCTTTCTTTACCACCTTTCCATGTCTCTCTCTCAGAGATGTAAGACCACATCTCTCTAGCTCTCTGTACATAAATAAACTAAATCTCTCTGAGAGAAGTGGGACATGGCAGAGTGGAGGGAATCTCAGAGGAGGAAGCAGAGGAAAAAGACTTTATGACAGGGCCACATGAACGGCCAATTCTGCCATCTTGGGTGGCCTTGGCCAAGGTCCAAAGGAGTTTACTCCATTGTCTGTAAGATAAGATCTACTATCTTAGAATCCATAGATAGGGTATAAGATCTACTTAAAATGTTTTATGAGTTGGTCAAAGAAACTGGATACTGCCTTCAATGATTATGAAATGGCTAAATATATTTTCTTTGCAAATTTTCTTTATTATGATGAATTCATTTGCTTTTTAAAATCAACTTCTGAAGTTGACAATAAAAAATACATGCACACGCACACATAAACCAAGAGGATTGGACTTCTGTTTATATCTAGAATAATATTCCTTCACTATGTTTTCATTGATTCATAGGATTTACTGAGACTGATCCCAAAGCCAAAACAAATGGGTTACTTTATCACTTCATGTCTCCTTTTGCACTCTCCCTGCTGATGTCCTTTCCTGCTTGAGACTAAGGTCTGGATATTTCTAACAGATTCCTGAACTCAGCATTGTCTTCTACATGCTCCAAGTATTTCCTGACCCAACCAGCTGAGTTTGTTGTGTTCTTTTAGGGCCTGCTAGCTCTAGCTAGCTGGATAAACTAATTTGTTATTGTTATAGTAGGTGTTAAAAGTGAATGTGTTCAGGGAATAAAAATCAGCAGGGAATCTTTCATATACATAATATACATAATTTTAAGCCCCATAGCGGGCCAGGATCAGAGGAGACCTGAAAACTATTGATCGAATGGGTGGCAAACTAGTGTTTTTATGTTTTAAGCTATTGCCAATTCTCATAGTTACAATGAATCAAACGCATTCAATGAAAATTGCAGCAACTCAAGCATAGAGCTTCATGGCTTGTTTCTAGTAATCAGACTAGCGAGGGCTCTTGATGTCATGGTCTGTTAGCGATCAGGCTGCTGACCTGGGATAGTCCTGCGGTAACTCTTGATGAGCACCTGTCACTAATTCTCTTAATAACTTCTTTTGCTCTTGATTTTTGGTACATTCTTTTCAGATTTCTTCAGTTATCTGAGTGCTCCGAGTGAGGAAGAAGTCATTGGAAGACTCGATGAGGATGTGATTCTCCCTTGCTCATTTAAGAATGGGTCTGAGGTTGTAATTCACTGGAAGAATCAAGAAACCCACACTATTTACTCATACTTCAAAGGCAGTGACCATTTGGAAAAGCAAGATCCCAGGTACACAAACAGGACATCCCTCTTCCATGCTGAAATTCACAATGGGAATGCCTCCCTATCTATTAGAATATTAAGGCTTCTGGATGAAGGAATTTATATCTGCTATGTGGGAACAGCGTCTGGAAAAACCACAAAGAAAGTGGTATTAAAGGTGGGAGGTAAGTGTGCATGTAGAATTTTATAAATCAGCAATAGTATCATTCCATGTTTTTCTAAAATGTCTTTTACTTAACATGCTATAGGCTTCCTTCCAAGTCAATTCATATGAATCTACCTCATTATTTTTAATGCATAGTATCTCATAGTGTAGACATGCTATAATTGATATACCCAAGCCCCACTGGTGGATATTCAGATATTTCCAGCATTTTACATTACAAAAAACGTTGTGATGGACATCCTTATATTTAACACTGGGAAATGATCTGAAAGGGCAGTATCAGAAGATTTTAATATGTTACTGCCACCAGCAGCATAATAGTATCCATTTTCCCCTAGTCTTATTAGCACCTAATGTTATCAATCTTGAAAATTTCTTGGATTATAATTAGTCTTTGGGTGGTGAACAAGATATAATCTACACAGAATTCGAAATATATTACGATGTACACCTGAAATTTATATAATGTTATAAACCATATAAAGCAGCAATGCTGCTGCAATAAAATAAATTAAAAAAAATTTCTGCCTATATGATGGCTAAAAAAATATTGAATTATTGATTTAAATTACATTTTTCTGTTTTCTAAATGAAAATTTTACTATTACATGCATTCCTGTTGTCTGTATTAACTTTATTTATGAGGGGAGGGGTATTTTCTAAGGGGTTGTTTGGTCCAGCACTGGTTCCATCTCCCTCTGCCCCATTTAGTGCTTCAGACCTTGACTCAGAAATTTAAGAATTATGTGTACACAAAGAGTCAGAAAGGCTCACAGTCAGGACCTGAAGAGTTCAGAAAGCTGCCTGAGCTCTAGTGTACACAGACTTTGATGCCCACATTTTGGTTGTTCAGGAAGGCCGTTAGATTTCTTTCTAGAATTCTTTTCAGTGAACTGAGATTGCCAGTTGCTATGTATCCATGAATGTTCTTTTTTCTCTTGTGGATAACTATACAGTATCTTAAGTTTCTACAGAGTTTTTGCTTTGTTTTTCCTTTGAGTAACTGCCAGGTTTTGCTCATAAAGCTTAGCTTTTTATTTCATGGGTATTAAAATAATGTGTTCTACACAGATGGCCTAAAAAGAAGCTAATAATGACGGTTCTTCATGTGACCTCCTTTCTCTTCCATAGCTTTTGTCACACCTGTGATGAAGTATGAAAAGAGGAACATGACCAGCTTCTTAACATGCAGTGTGCGAAGTTACCCTCATCCAAGTATCACATGGCAAGGGGACGAGACACCTATCTCTGAAAGCACTCTGGAAGAAATCGAGTCTTCGGGGTGTTTTCATATTTACAGTACAGTGACTATTACAGGATCAAATTCATCTTATGAATGTGCTATTGAAAATTCATTGCTGAAGCAAACATGGACAGGACAATGGACAGTGAAAGGTGGGCTCTGTAGGACTTTCTGGGTACATGAGCTGTCAGAGGTTCGGGGGAATGGGGATTGATTTATAGGGAAAGGAAGAGAAGAGAGAGAAAATCCATCTGTGGCAGTTAGAAGACAGACTGGAATCCCAGGTCTAATAGTTACTGGCTGGATTCCCTTAAGCAATCGTTTTTACTTCTGAACGTTAGTTCCTCATTCATAAAACGGAAGGAATTCCCACCTTGCTAGGTGTTTATAAATGAAGGAAAATATTTGTGAAACAGAAAGCAGCAAGCCTATCCATGAATATTACTGTATTTCTCCATTCATCCTTCAAAAAGATTTTCGACCTGCATTGCAGTTGAAAAGATCAGAGGAGAGGGGCCGGCCCAGTGGCCTAGCAGTTAAGTTCACACTCTCCGCTTTGGCTGCCTGAGGTTTGCCGGTTCAGATCCCAGGGGCAGACCTATGCACTACTTATCAGGCCATGCTATGGCAGGCATCCCACGTATAAAAAGTAGAGGAAGATGGGCATAGATGTTAGCTCAAGGCCAGTCTTCTTCAGCAAAAAGAGGAGGATTGGTGGCGGATGTTAGCTCAGGGCTAATCTTCCTAAAAAAAAAAAAAATAAAGAGAACAGAGGAGAAGGAAAAAAAGCATATCTATTAGCAGATCACAACCTCTGATTCTTGCCCATCTTTCGACTAAACAAAAACTAATTAGTACTATTGCTTCTGTTTAGTTTCTTTGTATACTATTAGCCCATTAGTCTTTACCAACACCTCTATCATAGCATGAGCAGCTTTCAATGCTCCTTCCTCTCATTTATTTGAACAAACCCAAACTCTGATTGACCTCTATATCTGTAACATATGTTTAAGAAAAGATTAAGGGGAAGAAAAATTAATTTGACACTGTTTACCCAATTCCAAGGAAAATTATTTTTATATTTCATTAGAAGCAAAGCAGAATTTTTCCGTAAATCTCCATTATATGGGGAAAGTGGAGGTTAGCTATTCTTTTTGGTCTTCTCTTCCCTTGAGTTTTATATTTTCAAAATGCTCACCAAGAAAACACTACACTTACGAGTGACTCACCACCTTTACCGGGTTTCACTGTTAAAGGCATGGGCACGCAATGTTCGCTTTTCATTAGCCAGGCAGCAATGGAAACATGGGAAAGGGTTCAAAATGTTAATATTAAGTTGTAAACATTTTCTTTAGAAAATTGTAGTTTCTCATGTTTGTTCAGAATTAATATCCTGAAGCACCACCAGTTCCTCAGGCTTAACACTATTTTGTCTTGTTGAGGGTCTGTTACGTGCCAAGCTTTGTCGCTTTCAGACTGTGAACTTAGAAACAAGGACTCTTACTCATTTCTGGATCCACAGCATCTAGTGCAAACATGTAAAAATAAAACTAAACCGGGAAGTAGCATACAAAGAGAGTGATTAATTCTGTTCACTGTGATTGGGTATGAATGGGGTTATCACAGAATATATGCTCAAGGAAGTTGCATAAGGGCAGAATTTTTAAAGAGTAGAAGGAAATTTCAGGAGAAATAGGCATTGCAGGTAAAAAGTGCAGAGGAGTAAAATTGCCTGGATTTGTGGGAATATAAGCGATCAAGAGTGAAACTAAAGTATTGAGAGATAAACCTGGAGAGGGAGGCAATACCAGACCAAAGGCCTTTATCTTGCTAAGGAGCTTGAACTGCGTTCTGGAGGTGGTGTGGAGCCAGAGTAGGAGCAGAACATCAGAGAGATCCCAGACTTGTATTTCAGATGGCTTTCTATGGGATCACTCTCTAGCCGGTGGCCTGGAAAGTAGGTGAGTCTAGAGCCAGAGAGAACAATCGATGGTAGTTCATAGAGGCTAGCCTACAGAACTACAGACCAGGGACAAGATGGAACTGGGTCTGGAGGTCCAAGCCGAGAATACCCAGCAGAGACCCTGCTCTAAAAGAGCTTGGTCCAGTGGGAGATGACCTGCATACGGTTGGAAATACATACACACTTCTTATGTGCAAGAAAAGAGACTTTGTCAAGAAAGAGGGATTAAGAAGTGACTGAGACCATAAAAGAAACAGAGACTACTGGGGAGTAGATATAATAAGAGGAGAGTCCTGGGGAACACCAGCATTTGAGGGGTCAATGGAAGAAGAACACTGAGTTAAAAAGACTGGTAACTGGTAGCAACATTCATGAGTGCTCACTGTTAAAACCCAGGTACATCACCTCTGGAGCCTGCCCAGGCTTAGGCCGCCTTAAAGGCCTAAACTTCACCTTGGTGGGAGAGTAAAATAGCGATAGTAAAGATTTTCTTTTGAGAAACTCCACAGCATAAATATCTAACTGCTTTTCAAAAAGGGTATTTTCAAAGATATTTCTACATGCATTTCTAAGTGTAACTTGGAAAATTTCTTTGAAAATTTTATTTTCATTGGTGTTTCCTTTTCTACCCTGTTGTTAGATGGCCTTCATAAAATGCAAAGTGAACACATTTCACTCTCATGTCAACCTGCAAGCAACATTTCTCTACCAAATCAAAACTTCAGAGTCACTTGGTCCAGAGTGGAAAGTGGGAATTCCTCCATCCTGGCTTACTTTCTGAGCTCCTCACGAAATACGATTATCAATGAACCCCGATTTTCATGGAACAAAGAGCTAATAAACCAGAGTGACTTCTCCTTGACTTTGAGGGATCTTAGAGTTTCAGACAGTGGGGAATACTTGTGCAATATTTCTTCAAGCAATTATACTTTACTCACCATCCAAACACTGCATGTAGGTAAGTTACAAGGAGGGTTGATAGCGGGTTTTGGCTATAGCAGTAGAGATTGTGAATATCAAGTAGGGAAATTAGATTGGCATTTAAAAGCTATCTTAGACTAGTATTTCACAAAATATTATCTACAGGGATGCTTCTGGTCAAGATTGTAGACAACCCTACCTCCTTCAACCACACAGAACTCCTATATTGGGGGAAAAAAGATATTAGTCCCACAAGATTTCCTCTTCAGGGATTCAGAGCTTCAGAAATGAAGAGGAAACATACACCTTTCAGTGACTCTGTGGGCTGAGCATCTTCAATTCCTTCTTACTATTGTGCCTAATGTGTGCCTTCGGGCCTGGGGTTTTGCAAGCTGAGGCTGCAGGCACAGTAGGAAGTTAGACTTGGGGCCCCGCTGGATGCTGGGGAATCATGGCACTATCTGTGAACCTGGTGGAGACAGTCACCAGAGGACATTTGAAACACTAGGTGTATGGCTGATTCAGCTCATTGATAGTTAACTGCCAAAACTCAGTATTCAAAATGTTTCTAGTCCACTATGTAGAGAGCCATGCAGTGTGTGCTCATGAAGTTGACTTTCTAGGAGGGCTGTTGATCCCCTTACCCTTGCTGTCAACTTGACCTCGTGGGAGCCCATGGCAGGTCTCTTTCTACCCTTCAATAAAGATATGTGTCAGTGGAACATATAAATGTTTTAGAAATATCTCTATCATTCTAGTTGTGAAAACTAGGAGGAAGAACGGATTTGGAGGTTTGGTGATTCTATGGAGTGAGATCTGGAGATAAGAGCACAGGCTTTCCTTAGGTCAAGTGGTCTTCAGATAGATAGAAGCTTCTAGACAGTGAGTGATAACAACACTCCCTTTGCAGAGCTGCCACTTTGAGAGTACTGAAAACTGGGAGGCATTTGAAACTCCTATTTTTCTCCAAGGCAGGATTGTCAGTTTTATGTAAAATACAGTTCAGCTCTCATTCTGTTTTTTTAAATGTTGCCTCATGTTGGATTCATTTTGGAGCGCAGAAAAATAATCAGGAAGAAATAGTCTGAAGGCCACGTATCACCCATCTTCCTAATCAGAGATTTCATTTTCAGTTTATACAAAGCGAAGCATCAGGACCACGCCATCTCTGACAAAGAAAAGAAGCTTTTCAGAACCTCTCATTCCCAAGTAAACCCTGGCCCATTGAGACTGGTGGAGGGTCTGCCCACACCTCCCCTCAGGAAAAGGCCTGTAGCAGGAACTCCCCCAGCAGCGCAGAGAACAGGGTCAAGAGTTCTGGTACCCTAGACATCACTCTTTCAAGGAAACTTGGTTTTCTATTCTGAATGGCAATTTCCTACTTGCTGCCTTGCCCAGGAGATGCTACAGCATCTGAAAAGTAGGCCCAGCTAGGGGGGCTTCTCACTCCTGGAGTCTAGATCTGCTCGATAAAGGTTGCACTGAATTGAATGGAGTTAAATAATTCTTGCTAAATTTTGCTGCTGACTCAATATGTGAACTTGGACAAATCTCTTTACAGATGGGGGAAGTTTTTAGGGCCATGGCTCAAGTAAGAAGAAGCCATTCCTGGCAGGATTTTCTTCAGGAGGAAAAATATGCATAAGAAAACACTCTAGAAAGTCAATTTAACATTTCTACTTAATTGTCCCTTCCTTCCATGGGTATAGAGTTTCAGAATGACACAAATATGTGGAAAGATTAATGTTCTATTGGTTGCATTGAGTATGTTCATAAAAATTGACATCCGTTATACAAAGCTACTCATTTTAAAGGATAGCCATAAACATTTCCCCCCTGAAGTGGCCTTCATGCTCTAACGCTTGCTCCCTGTTCTTTGGTCGAACATAGATCACGAGAGTTGCAGAGTTCTGACTTTGGTTACTCGAGGTCTCCAAGGCTCTGCCTTCTGCAGTCCCCACTTCCTTTAATACTAATTACAATAATTCTGGTTCCAGTCAAGACACTGGAAAAGGTTCAGGCTTCTTCAGTTATTCCTGAGGAGCTCCAAGCACGATCTGTTGTGCTGGTGGCCAGCTGTCACCTCTCACTCAGTGCCATGGCTCCTACCCAGCTCTTCTCCTCACCGCTGCACATCTCATCACTATTCCTCTAGGACCCTATCTTCTCCAGGCCAAGCGGGGACTGAGCCCTCCCTTCACCATCCAAGGAAAATGCAGGGCTGAGGCTCATCTCTGGTCAGAATCATTCCTTTGTAAAAGTGTGTTAACTCTTTTTACAATATAAAACAATAGAAGCTTAAAATGCGTAATAGACTCATTGCCTCCGAAGTTTTCAGACTCTTCTCTCTCTGGACTCCTACCCCGACTAAGCCCCAAATTTGTTAATATTACAGCTTTTGCAGGTTTCCCACAATAAGCTCATTGAGACTGGAAGGTATTTATGCTCATGAAAATTTCTCTGGTCCAGAGAGGGCTCTTGGCCTTATCTTTAATGGGTCTTTTCCTTATGAAAAGTGTTTTCGCTAATATGAAACCTGCCTCCTGCCTAAAAGGCAGAAACAAATAGGTTTAAAAATAGTTAACATCCTCTACCCTCTCACCCGCGTTTTATTTTTTTGCTAATTTTTCTTCCAGTTTATAGGTTTCTTGTTTGTTTTATTTAGAACCGAGTCAAAAAAGAGATATCTGGAAAATTCTGCTTCCAGTGATGATTCTGGTGATTGGGGTGATTCTGGTGCTTTTAGTATTTTACAAAGACCCTGAATCAAGAAGATTCTGCCATTTCTGCAAAGGTAATAGCTCATGGAGAACCTGTGATCCGTCCCTGGGTGTTCAGGTAGAGGTGTATCAAGGATGGCATGCAACCATACACCTACTGCTGCTGGGCATGTAAACAGATCTGAATTTCCTGGAGAGTCGTTTGTAAAATTTATCAGCAATCCTTTAAAATACTCCCACCTAACTATTGTGCTTTTAGGAATTTATCCTGCATCAAATGGTCAGAGTCACACCAAACTATATACAAGCACATTCTTTGCAGCACATTGCTATTACTTCCAGTTTTCCTACTATTTCTTTTTTTTTTCTTTTAGGAAGATTGTCCCTGAGCTAACATCTGTTGCCAATCTTCCTCTTTTTTTTTTTCTCCCCAAAGCTCCAGTACATAGTTGTATCTCCTAGTTGTAAGTCATTCTAGTTCTTCTATGTGGGACACTGCCGCAGCATGGCTTGATGAACGGTGTGTAGGTCTGCGCCCAGGATCCAAACTGGCGAATCCCAGACTGCTGAAGTGGAGCGCATGAACTGAATCCCTCAGCCACGGGGCTGGCCCCCTACTATTTCAATAAATAATAGGAACTTGATCAAATTAACTGAAAATCACACGTTACTTGTTTGTTTGTTTGTTTGTTTTACCAAAGAGGAAAAAAATTAAATCTGGCAGTAAAGTAATGCAATTATCTTGTATTGAAAAATATCTGGAAAGAATGAAGCCAAAGCTTTACAAATGGCTGCCTTTGGAGAGAGGTTGCCCCTTCGCCACCACCCCCCTGCCCAGGGGCTTCTGTTAGGTCTGGGCTTCCTCAAGCCTCTGGGCTCCCACCCCTGGGCTCTGTTTTCTCTTTCTTTGAGCTTTGCCTATGGTTGCTACCACTCAAGATAGCATTGACCTTTATGGACCATTTTATTTTAATCCTTATTAAATTTTTTAAAAACCTTTCCTAAATTTTCTGCAACAAACCTGTATTACTTATTTGATTACTTATAGTAATTAAAATGTTGCATTAAGATGCCATGGTCACAGAACTTCTTAAAAGACCTTGCTTTTGTCAACAGAATTAGATCTACTTATCTCCACATTTTACAGATCAGGAGACTGGAATCCAAGAAATTAACTCAAATGCTAAGTAGATGTGTAAAACAGACTTAAGGACCCAAGCTGACCCAGCTAACTGGTGGCCAGGGGTAGATCTGGGCCCCAAGAAGCTCTCCCTTATTCCGTAATCCCCCTGAGAAGGCTCTGAGTATCCTGGGAGGTGGAGATAGATTCCATGTCCCTTCTTCTTCTTGATACCTGCCTATTGCCCCTGCTGAAGTTAGGGGATTTGCTCATAGTAGAAACTACTATTGAGAGTAAGATTTTGAGGGTGACAGTGAGCCAGAGTTCCACCATTTCTAGCCCTGTGATTGTACTAATAGGCAGGCTAGTCCCCTTACTTGTTACTCCTGTCCCTTAGCTGGCCAGAAGTATGAAAAGATGGCAGTCTCTAGTTTGTCTCCACAATACAACCCATGTCCTAATATAATGATACTTGTGACTGGATTAGGTTCAAATTATAGGAGACAGGGGCACGAAATGCTGCTCAAGAATGACAGTTTAGTTTCTATATTGGAAGTATGCATACGTCAGGACTCAACAGAGAACACCTGGCATGCTCAAAACTACAGAGGGGAGCACGGAAGACAGTGCACTCCCCCAGGGCTGGGAGCAGCTGATATGCTAGCAAACCTAAACTTGAAGGGAAACGAGAGGGAGCAACTCCCAAAACCTGGAATGAGAGAGTCAAGTAAAACCAGCTGCCTTGTAAGGAGAATGAATGACCTTCACTTGAAGGACACAGCCAGACCAAGGCGACCTTCCAGGGAAGGAGCTGGAAAAATAAATACCTGATTTTGCTCTTCCCTCCCTCTGATCTCCACCCAACTGGAAGCCAGAGGGAAGAGACACCCTGCAGATAGAACTCATCCAGGTCAGCTTCCCACGGCAGAGAGCAGGATGGATTCTGACACTGGAAGAGCAGTCAGGAGACATCAGCAAAACAGTGTCAGGGTACTGGCCAGTGTTTTTAAAAATAACGTTCTATAGTTCTGTAGTCAGGTGGGCTGAATGTATATTTCAAGCTGCTACACTAAAAATCACAAAACCTTGTCAACCTCCAGGTCCCTGGTTGTAGTTTCATATGACTATGGTTTATATATTTTCTTTGTAAATTCCCTTTTCTAATAAAAATACCCTTAGTCTATGATAAGTATAAATTATCCTGGATTTTAGCAAGGCCCAGAAGGAGGGCTTTACTGAAGAAAGAACATTGTATCCCTTTTTCCTTAACCGTCACCTCTTTGGCTGCTATTTTCCATTGTTAACAGTTGGTAGGAATCAGGCCAACAATCCTAAAGAGCCAAGAATTCCTGGCCTGGTTGAACTGCCTTCATCCCCATTTTGGAGCACCTGAATCAGCCGTAAGAATTTATCGCTGTTTGTTTCTGATGAGGTATTTCTACCCTCAATGAACTTTTAATGCTGTTTGTTAGAAGAAAGATATGAAAAGGGAGTAATTAAGGTGATTCTAATAACATAATTATATTGAGGTAGGGATAAGGGAGAATGAGTGTTTGCAAAGAGATATTTTTAAAGTTTGTTCTCTTCTTTCCTGTAGCATGGGATCCTGTCTCCTCTGATGAGAATGCTCGTAATACAGAAAACAGGGTAAGTCATTTCCTTTATCAAACCATTTCTAGTATAAGAATGCTACCGTAAAATGGAGATTGAAGTTTTGATTGATTCACGTATTGCCATGCAAGACTTTTATAGAGAAAAAAAGGCAGGAGAGATTGCAGGATAACATAAGAGGAAAAAAATACAATTAGCTTTCCCCAATGTCTATCATTAACAGCCTTTACTTGCTTAAATAGTGCTTGCTCTCCTCATCTCCTATTATTATCTGAAGAGAAGATCTCACACGGCTCTATGCATATGAGGGTGCACCAATGTACTTACTCTTCTATGGAAACACGAGATTGTATAGAAGTGGAAAGAAATGCAGATGAAGTGGAGAAAAGCAGACTACCATTTCTGCCTAGACTCAGACTGCTGATCTTCTAGGCTTTTCCAGCCATTTCTAGGTTCCTCAGGGACAGATAATTCACTTATGAATTACAGTTGGCTTATATACTTCCTTGTTGCTGCATACTTTTTATTATTTGAGTCCCATTAATCAGAATATAAATAAGAGCAAAGAGTAGGGTAAGCTTGTTTATCCACTTGTTAAAAACTCAGGAACACCTACCAGGGAGATTAAATTTGACTGCTAAGACCCAGACTTTACTTATTTTGTAACTGTCTCATGGATCTCTGATTACAGATGCAAACAATAGCTGAAGATCCCCCCTCCCCAAAACCAAATTAAAACACAACCATCATTAAATGCTTAAGATAAAAATGGCCATTCTGACATGAACAACGGCCATATAGAGTTCATTTTTCTTGGTTCTAGGATCTTTGAAAACAGCCAGCCAGTACAAGAAATGAAACAGGACTGTGACAACACATCACAAGCGTCCCTAAGATCCAGTGACTTCACATCCTCTGTCTTCACTGTGATTCCAGCAACGGCCATCAGGACCTGACAGTTCTACCCTCGCAAAGACTTGTAACCATTCTCTTCTCCAGTGTCACATTCACTCTTCAAGACTTAAGCATCATTCACTGACCCTCTACCTGCATCAAGGTTATAAATGCCTGGATGTCCAGAATTCCAATTCAACTTAGAAAAGAACTGTCTCATTCATTGACATACTACCTCAATCAGCCCAGGAGGCTACAGTGACATTTTCCCCAAGAACTCGGAAGGAATGTATCACTAAGAGTTGATTCAAAATCTGATCCACTAATGATGAGTGAGAGAGCAGGTAGGAGCAGAAGTCACCATAGTGAAAAGGTGAAAAACCAGGGCCTGGAAACCAAGGTGGTTGATTTGCTAAGGGACTGTACTCTAGTTTTGGTTATATCAGCTTAACCAACTAGATCTACTTTGGTGAGTCTTATGTACCCAGGGAGCAGGAATGTCAGTAGTTCTAAACTGCCTAGGGCCAAGAGCCCTGTCAACTCAGGAACTGACATCTCTGGGGTTGAGTTAGACCTTCCAACACCAGGTTTGCATAGCTGAGTGACCCTAGCTATGAAGATAATTTGGTTCACTCTTCTGGCTCACTTGTCATATTGTTAATCTGCCTTCTAATAAATTTAGACATTTTTATTAAATTTAGATTTATTTTTATTAAATTTATATTTTTAAAATTTCTATTAAATTTTTATGCAAGGGGAGAATGGATAGCCCAGCTGACTTGATCTGTTCGCCTTAATTTTAATCATCCATTTATATAGAAAAAGTCTAACCAGGATTTTTGTGACTTATTCAATCAAGTTTTGGAACCTAGAGTTTACAGGAGAAAACCAACCCTGAATTGTACGTTAGTGCTGGCTGGTCCAGTTTTCTCTGTCAGCTGGCCTTAACGTCACAATCTCATACCTTGTACATAGTTTTGTTTTTGCTGATTCTATTTGCTACAATGTTGTGACAGGTTTTCATCATAAACTGTCAAGTATTGAGGATGGTATCGTAAAGAAAAACTTTTAAAGGGACATAGGACACTTTGTGAGGAGAAAATGCTCAGAACTGCTGTAGTCTTCTTACAATGATGAGGGGTACAAATTTAAAAACAAAACCAACACATTGAGGATGGCAGACAAGAAAGAATCTGGGTCCTTCCATGTTGTTGAGTTGATCTTAGAGCCACCTGTATGAGTCGGGGTTGGATCAGAGAGGCAGACTGTTGAGAATAAGGATTTATTATGGGGATTCAACCTTACACAACTGTGAGTACTGGTGAAGAAGTGGATGCCAGGCTGTCCCCTCTGCATCTGCTGCTGGACCTGAAGTCACTGTAGGTCCTCTGGGGCAACCATAAGGAAGGAGAGCTGGACATGGAGTTGAGGATGACCTGGAATCCATACGAACAAACTGGAACCCACACCTGTCTCCCAGGGCCTCCCAGGTCAATGCTGTGGGTGACCTGCAACAGAAGCTGGTGCCCGTTGCCATGGAGCCACACACACGCCTGGCCAGAACCGTGAAGCTGAAGGAGGAAACTGACAGGAGCTGGAAGAGCTGCTCGTCCAGGAAGCCGTTGCTGATTTCTGCTAGCTCACCTTTTTTGGCCAGGGGTATTATTTTCCAGCTGTCATGGTGTCTGGGGCCATACACTGACCTTATGAGCATATAATAAACAGCTGCTCCTTCACTTCTGCCTCTCAAATCTGGTGCAAATTTCTCTTGTGACAAACTCCAATCCAGAACCACAGAGAGAAAAGAATTCTGGGAAATGTCCCTCCAGTTTGGCTAAATTGGCACAATACAAGCCAGGATAACACCTATCATTGAACTCAATGTCTTGTGTGAGAAACTGCTTCAGTGTTTATGGTCTGCACCAGCACGCAGCCTACATGTGTGTTGATTAGGAGAGTTTACCTACAAGTTCAAAGTGCCTAACTGTAATTACATGTAAATAACAACACTAAGATAAAAGTTTATCAACTCCCACCATTAGTGGCTAAAAATGTAGACTCATGGAGGTAGGGATGAGTTGAGCAAAGTTCACTAACTTCAGCAATAACCATTTACCAACATGCCCTATCCCCATGGACCACGACTGCTCTAAGGATGCCTTCTGTGAGTATTACTCATTAAGATGCAATATGAACAAAAGAACAAGTATTCATTTATTTTTTTAACTTCCCAAGTTTGAAAGATTCTTGGATCTATTTAATCTTTCATGTGAAATGTTTGCTTGTGTTTGAGGATCACAAAATCCCCATTAACCTTGGAAACAACAATACTTCCTTTAACTACTACATTTTTCTAATCTCCTTGTTTAAACTGCTTTTCACCTAACATAAAAACATGGTTTTTTTTTTAATGTTTGTTTCAAATGCAACTTGAGTTTTTGGCCATAAAATGGTGCCCTCCTGGTACGTCTCCAGCCACTGTCCTTCATAAGCGAGGGCTGCTTATTCTTCATGAACCTGAAAAACAGGGTATCAGTGTGTTCTGTGAGATCCCTGTGACTTACACCAGTGGAGCACATGCCTAGAACCAAGCCCAGTCTTTTCCAGAGATAAGCAGGCCTTAGCCAGCTCTTCATTAGCTTCAAAGGGAGGCAGGGAATCACGGCAATTATCCACATTATAGAAGGCAGACCCCGTAAGTCACCCCAAGGGCAAGCTCGGTCACTCTCAATTTTTCTACTCCCCTTGCCTTGCTGGCGAAGGCAGTGCCTTCTACAGAACACCCCATGGGGGAAAGACTGTGGCCACATCACCAGTTTGCCCCACAGCCCTGACCTAATTCCATCAGAAAACCTTTTCCTAATGACAGTTGAGGGATTTTCAGGCTTTCCTTTTGTGAATGGGCAACAATTAGTCATTGCACTGCCAAGGACGGTTTTCCTATTCATCTCTGGCCTCTCAGAAGCAATTTCTGCTTCACTCATTCTATTCTTTGTGGAAACAACTGTGACAAAGTCGAATGCATTACATCTGTTTTGGAGGCTCTTCGACCTCCTGCAGCTGAGTGCAGTCGCAGCACGTGTGAGGTGTTCTCCTAAACAAAGCCATTCTGTGGGGCTGCTGAGCTGGCTCTGCACAGAAGACCCCAGACCCAATGCCAGAACGCTTCTCAAATTGAGGCCAGCGTTCAGTCCACATAACTGGACCTCTCCATCTAGGCCTGATCCCTGAGACAGCTATCCAGGCATCAATAAGAAGTCTCTGGAGTCTGCCAATGGCTTGTGTTTCTCATTTAGATCTAAATATATTCACTATAACCAACTTTAGTTTCTCCTTCAAAGGAGATCCTTTTGACCTCTGTTAAGGTAGTATTTATTATTGGCAACCCTATCTACTTATCTTGCAGGGTGACTAGTAATTCACTTATAATAAATTAGAAAGAGGACCAGGCATCTACCAAATTTTTAAAAAAGAAATGATGGTGCCTACTGTAGTAGGCATTGTGCTAAGTGCTTTATAGGCTTTCCTTGAAGGCTATCCAATCTCCTTTAATTCTCCTGTACTAAAGCAAGATCTCATTGAAAAACTGTGTTCCTGGGAAATCCAAGCGAGGAAGCTGAGGCTTCTGTGACTGCTATGGTCTAAATGTGTCCCCCCAAATTCATGTGTTGAAATCCTAACCCCCACAGAGATGGTATCAGGAGGCAGGGCCTTTGGGAGGTGATTAGGTTATGAGGGTGAAGTCCTCATGAGTGGGATTAGTGCCCTTAGAAAAGAGACTCCAGAGAGCTTCTTCCCCTCTTTCCACTACATGAGGTCACAGCGAGAAGAAGATGATCTATGAGGAAATGGCCCTCAACAGATCTTCCAGCACCATGATCCTGGCCTTCCCAGCATCTAGAACTGTGAGAAATAAATGTTTGCTGTTTATAAGCCTCCTAGTCTCTGGTGTATTGTTATAGCAGCCTGAGCAGACTAAGACACTGGCCCTGCCAAGCCTACAGTTCAGTGTTTCTGACGTACCTTTTTTCCAAGCTCTTTTGCTTTAATCTTGAGTTTATTGACTTGAGATTCTGCTATCTCTGCCCTTTCCTTAGCTGCGTTCAACTCATGTTGCTGCTTCTTATACTTAGAGAGGTATTGATTGGCTTGTGCTTCCTATAAAAACAAAAAAATGAAAAAATAAACCCCTGTGCCTACATAGTCATATTTTTTCCTGTTCTGACATGAGAAAGTTGAAAAATGTAGAAGGAATCTAAACTTCTGAGTATTGAATAGAATATCGTATTTTGGTATGATATACAGGAATTCAGACTTTCTAGCAGGCACAAGATCCATTTTTATAACTGTTGTTCCCTGGAAACAGAGAACATGGTTGGCCCTCTCCACCAACTGGATGTAGTCCAGCTTTCATAGATTTGGTAAGTGATAGAATAACCACAATTGTTTGTTTTATAATCAGTTCAACATCCTAGTCTACCTCTGGGTATAGGGGGTTTGTCTTTGCAATTATATGCGGCAACAGGTAATTATTAGACATAGCAGTGTTTTAGCCCAAATCATTTAAATAATCAATTCAAAACCCCTCGAGAAATATTATTATTAGGCATAAGCCAATATATACGGCACTTATCAGTCACAGTCCATGAACTATGGATACTAACCCAGGATTGGCAAGTACATTTCAAGTGATGGTGGTTATGTCCACAGCCATTTCCAGGCTCATCAGGAGACAGGACTGTGAACTGCATTTTATGCTCACCGAAGGTTTTAGGGTGAGGAAGGCCCCAAGGTGATTACCCAACCAAAAGTTTGCCATCCCTACATGATTCCATGCTCTTGCTGGGCTCATTTCTTGCAAGGCACATGTTTGGGTGTAACCCCAAGGTTGAGGAAGAGCACTCTGGCTCCCTGGAGGGAAAAGCAGCACAAATTTTCACCATGAGTGATAATTCTACCTTGAGAAAAACCAGAGGATGAGCAGACTTTAAGCTGAGCTAGTCCTCTCTGATAAGCTGCTCCTCTAGCTTAGAGCCACATATCTCCATTAATAAAAAAAAAAAAAAAAAGAAAAATGCTGGGAAATCCACGCGGCTGCAACTGTCCTAGGTACTTACCACCGTCTCGATTTGCTGCTTGTAACTTTGCACTTTCAGCTGAAGATTATCCGTCAGAGTCTGCATCCTGCTCAGATTTTTCTTGTCTTCTTCTGCCTGAAACGCACAGGTATGTATGTGAAGGTGATTTGGAGGATCCAGCAACTGCATTGGGAGTAGCCTCACTTGAGGAAGTAAGAGTAAGGAGACTTCATTAAACACCACGTTAGAGTGATGATTTGAAAAACGGTTTAACTCTACTCATCCAGAGTTACCAGAAATTAATAAACATAGCTTTGAACAATGACAGTCATTTCCCCTGATCCACCATAGAACTTGCAGCCTTTGCTAAAACGGAAGTTAAAGCTACTAGTTTCAATCTGGGCTTTGGCCCTCCCACCCCAACCATCTGCCTGTGGTTTCTCAGTCCTGTCCCATCCACTACCATGCCCCCTGCTCACCTCCATGGCAATCAAACCAATGCTTCTCTTGAACTTGCTAACTGACCCTTGGCTTTGGGTAATGGAACTATAGGAAAGGTAAGTTTTCTGGGATTCTGGTGGGGGCATCAGCAGAGATAGTGAGGAAAAACCTATAAGCTGTGGGACCCATGTTGTGAGCTTTCTCCTTGCTTCTATTGCAACCCAGGCTTGGGCTGGAGAAAGGAAATCTAGTGAGACAGGTTTTCAACAGTGTTCCATAGAGCCTTAGGTATTGTGAGGAGAAAGGAGGGGAGAGGCAGGCAGGTAGGTAAGGCTCTACATGTCTCCCCCTTTTCCACACCCTTTTAACTAGAGTATTTCCACTTTGGAAATGTTGAACTTCCTCAAGGAAGAAAGTATCTCAACCAGCTGAGCTTGTGAACATGTTTAGTGCCCTGGTTTTTGTGGCTGCCACCAAGGGAACCCCTTTGAAGGCTTGGCTCTGGTGGCCAGCAGGACTCACGTTCATGGGTGCCACAGGACTGCATCAAACAAACAGTTCTTAATCAGCCACCCCCACCCTCCACCAGGGCACAGTGCAGAAGCAGCAAACTGAAACACCCAGCCTTTCCATGAAAAAGGCCAATTTATTTATCTTAGTAGCTGTGCCCGAGGGGCAGGTTTCTAATTTAACACATATCTAGGGGCTGACTACAATCCTTTCCAGAGATTGAGGAGGCCTGCAGGTGCCATCTTCATGCTTTCCATCTGCCCCACCCCAGGTTGCTGGTATCTCCAAGAAAGGAGCTCGTGCATGAGTCTGATGTCCCGGCTTTTGTGGCTGATGCCCAGAGGACACATCCCTTGATAGCCTGGCTCTGGTGGCCAGCAGGGCTTGTGTTCATGGGTTCAACAGTATGGTAGCAAACAAAGAAACAGTTCTTAACTGGCTATCACCTCAAGGCTCAGCACAAAGGGAACAGAAATGCCTATCTCCCTGTCTTCCCCTGAAAGAGGTATATTTGCATATTTTAAAAGCTCCTGCCTGAGGGTCTGGCTTCCAATCAGGCTGCATCTAGCTACTGACTGACATCCTCCCCTTTGGGACACTAACAGGTCTTGGACACCCTCAACTACTGGGAGCCACCAAGAACAAAGAAGCCTTCTTGGACAATCACAAAGGTTTCAGAGACAACCAACAGCTAGGGTAGGATTGAACAATAAGGATCATCTCCTGCATGAGACGATTCAATCAAGACTGGGAGAGGTAGCCTTTTTTTAAATAGTTTAGGTAGTTTTATCAAATACATAGAAACCAATGCAGAATATCAAGAAAAATTAAGAAACAAAGGAATATGTTCTTAATGAAAGAACAAGATAAAACTTCAGAAAAAGATGGCGGTCAGTGACTTACCTGATACAGATTTCAAAATAATGGTTATATAGATACTTACCAAGCTCAGGAGAACAACGTATGAACAAAGTGAAAGTTTCAACAAAGAGAAATATAAAAAAGTACCAAAAGGAAATCATAGAGAGGAAGAATATAATAACTGAACTGAGAAATACAATAGAGGGGTTTAAGATCAGACTAGATCAAGCAGAAGAAAGGACCAGTGCACTTGAAGACAAGGCAGTGGAATTCATCCCATCAGAGCAGCAAAAAGAAAACAGAATGAAAAAGAGTAAAGATAGCTTAGGGGACTTGTGGGACAACATCGAGCAGACCAACATTTGCATTATAGGGCGTCTCAGAAGAAGAAAAGAGATAAAAGGGCAGAAAAATTATTTGAAGAAATAATGGCTGAAAGCTTCTCTAACCTGGGGAAGGAAACAGACGTCCAGATCCAGGAAGCCCAAGAGTTCCAAATAAGATGAGCCCAAAGAGGCCCACACCAAGACACATTATAATTAAACTGTCAAGAGGCCAGCCAGGTGGCATAGTGGTTAAGTTCACATGCTCTGCTTCAGCAGCCAGGGGTTTGTGGGTTCAGATCCTGGGTGGGCACCTACACGCTGCTCATCAAGCCATGCTGTGGCAGCATCCCAAGTACAAAAAATAGGGGAAGATTGGCACACGTGTTAGCTCAGGGCCAATCTTCCTCACCAAAAATAAAACATTAAACTGTCAAAGACAAGGAGAGAATCTTAAAAGTAGCAAGAGAAAAACAACTTGTTACATACAAGAAAACCCCCAAGAGCCTATCAGAAGATTTTTTTCAGCAGAAACTTTCCAGTCCATAAGAAAGCAGCACAATATATTCAAAGTGCTTTAAGAAAAAAACTACCAATCAAGAATACTCTACCCAGCAAAGTTGTCCTTCAGAGTTGAAGGTGAGAGAAGCAGTTTTCCAGGCAAGCAAAAGCTGAAGGAGTTCAGCACCACTACACCAGCCTTATAGGATATGTTAAAGGGACATCTTTAAGCTGAAACAAAAGACACTAATTAGGAAAGGGAAAACATGAAAGTATAAATCTCACGGGTAAAGATAAACATATAGTTAAATTCAGTATAATATAATGTTGTAATGGTGGTGGGTAAATCTCTTAGAAATCTAGTATTAAGGTTAAAAGACAAAAACAGAAAAAAATAGCTATAACTATAAAAATTTCTTAATGAATATGCAAGATAAAAAGATATAAACTGTCATATCAAAAACATAAAATGTGAGCAGCAGGGGAGAGTAAAAATGTAGAGCTTTAGAATGCTTTCAAACTTAAGTTATCAACTTAAAATGGACTATTATAAATACGGGTTATTTTATGCTATCATCGTGGTAACCACAAAGCAAAAATCTACAGTGGATACACAAATGATAATGGAATCTAAGCATACCACTACAGAAAATCATCAAATCACAAACCAAGAAAGCAAGAGAAGAAAGAAATGAAGGAGTTACAAAACAGCCAGAAAACAATTAACAAACTGGCAATAAGTACATACCTATCAATAATTAAATGTGAATGACCTAAATTCTCCAATCAACAGACATAGAATAGCTGAAAGAGGGGGAAAAAAGGCCCATCTCTCTGCTGCCTACAAGAGACTCACCTCAGATGTAAGGCCACATATAGATGGAAAGTGAAGGGATGGAAAAAGATATTGCATAGGCTGGCTATACCTATATCAGACAAAACAGACTGAAAACATAGAAAGTCATTATATAATGAGAAAGGAGTTAACCCCACATGAGGATATAACATTTGTAAATATTTATGCACTAACATAGGAATATTTAAATATGCAAAGTGAATATTAACGGACCTAAAGGGAGAAATGAACAGCAATACAATAATAGCAGGGAACTTTAATACCCCACTTTCCTTAATGAATAGATCATACAGATAGAAAATCAATTAAAAAGCATTGGCCTTAACAACATATTAGACCAGATGAACTTAGCAGACATTTACAGAACATTCCATGCAAAAGCAACAGAATACACATTCTTCTCAAGTGTGCATGGAACATTCTCCAGGATAGATCATATGTT